GATTCCTGTTCAGAACTCTTAGCAAAATTTGGATAGAAGGGAAATTCCTCAACATAATTAAGGGTATAAAAAGCCAACGGCCAACATCATTATTAATGGAGAAAGACTCAAGGCATTCCCCTTACAAATGGGAACCAGACAGGGATGCCCTCTATCACCACTTGTATGTAACATTGTATTGGAAGTCCTGGTCAGGGCAATAAGGCAAGAAAGAGAAATAAAAGGCATACAAATAGGTAAAGAGGAACTAAAACTATCTCTATTTGCGGATGATTTGATCCTGTATGTAGAAAACCCAAGGGACTCAATTAAAAAACTACTGAAACTAATAGAGAGGTTCAGCAAAGTGGCAGGATACAAGGTCAATTACAAAAATCAGTTGGATACCTCTACAATAACAAAGAGTCCTCTGATAAAGAAATAAGGGAAACAATATCATTTGCTATAGCTATTAAAAAGATAAAATATCTAGGACTAAGCCTCACCAGAGACACAAAAGACCTATACAAAGCAAACTATAAAACAGTGCTACAAGAGACAAAAAGGGCACTACATAAATGGAACAACCTACCTTGCTCATGGATAGGTAGACTAAATATTGTGAAAATGTCAATACCTAAAGCAATCTATACATTTAATGGAATCCCGATCCAGATTTCAGCAAATTTTTTCAAGGACATGGAAAAACCAATTACTTATTTCATATGGAAAGGAAAGAGATCTCGGATAAGCAGAGCATTTCTCAAGAAGAAAAACAAAGTGGGAGGTCTCACACTCCCAGATCTTAAGAACTACTGTACAGCCACGGTAGTCAAAATGATACAATGATAGACAGATAGACCAATGGAACAGAATCGAAAGTCCAGATATACACCCATCCATCTACAAACAACTTAACTTTGACAAAGGTCCAAAACCCATTAAATGGGGAAGAGATATCCTCTTTAACAAATGGTGCTGGCAAAACTGGATATCCACCTGCAGAAAAATGAAACAAGACCCATACCTCACCCCATACACAAAAACAAACTCAAGCTGGACCAAAGACTTAAATGTAAAACCTCAAACTATAAAATTCATCAAAGATAAAATAGGGGCAAATTTGGGAGCCCTAATTTATGGCATAAATAGACTATCAAGCATAACCCAGAATGTGCAGGAGATAGAAGAGAAGCTAAATGACTGGGACCTTTTAAATTTAAATTCTTATGTTCATCGAAAGACTTTGTCAAAAGGGTAAAAAAAGAACCTACAAATTGGGAGAAAGTATTTGCCTATGCCAAAATCTATAGAAAACTTCAACACCTCAACACCAAAAAGACAAATACCCCAATTCACAAATGGGCAAAAGACTTGAACAGACACTACACCAAAGAAGATATACAGGCAGCCAAAAAACACATAAGAAATTGCTCACAATCATTAATCATTAGAGAGATGCAAATCAAAATAACAATGAGATATCATCTCACCCCAGCAATAATAGCAAAGTTCAACAGGTCAGAAAATGACAAATGCTTGTGAGGTTGCAGAGAGATTGGAACTCTTGTACACCGCTGGTGAGTTTGTAAAATGGTAGAACCATTGTGGCAAATGGTATGGTATTTTCTTAAAAAACTGAAAATAGAATTTCTCTTTGACCCAGCAATTCCATTACTAGGAATATATCCTAAAGAAGTGAGAGACACCACACGAACAGACATATGTACACCTATGTTCATTGCAGCACAATTCACTATAGCAAAGAGATGGAAACAACCTAAATGTCCATCAACGGATGAGTGGATAACCAAATTATGGTATACGCACACAATGGAATACTATGCTACATTAAAGAACAATGAGGGATATGTGAATCATCTTGCAACATGTATGAATCTGGAGGACATTATGGTGAGTGAAATAAGTCAATCATAGATAGACAAGTACTATATGAGCCCATTACTGTAAAAAGACAAAGAAGTTTGCTTGGGAAAGGGAACTCATGTAGTAGGTTACTGGGATGGGGAGAGAAGGGGACAGATTAATTTCAGGCTAGTTGGGGCCTACACACTGACGTGGGTAGGGGGAGGGATATACTGGAGGGATCTGTGACCACCATGATAACACTGGGAAATGGGAGGACACTGAATTGTCCACATACTGTATTGCCATTAATACCAAACACCAGGCTACAGATAAACACATAAACACCTGACATGATCAGATGGGGGTCAGTGAACAGAAGTATACTCTAGACCAAGGATAGATTGAGCTGAGGCTAATCTTGCACAGACCCCAGTGATTCAAAATACCTGCAGTCCTTATAGAAACAATAGAAGATAGACACAGAGTAATCCCTCGCAGACAACCAGACACTATGGGAGAGAGATCCAATAGATCTACCATCTCAGTATCATAGTACTGGGGGACACCAGACTCAATTGGCACAACAAAATACATAAAAGCCTTGCTCCACATCCTACATTCGTGAGTTGTGACTGGGGTCTTAAAAGGTTTCAAGTGGCCATCTAAGATGTAGCTAACAGTCTCCTAGGGTGGGACATAAAGAAGAACACAAAACAAAGAAACAAAAAACAATAACAAGGGCATTTGGAAGTTATCAGTCATAGGACATGATGGCCCTTGAGACCAGAAGAACTAGATGGTGCCCAGCTACCAATGCCAACCACTCAGGAAGGGATCAAATCTGGAGATCCTGGATAGAATGGGAGGGAAAATGTGGAACAAAACCAAAAACTCAATAACGACCAGAATTACTGGTCAGGTGAAATCTGGTGAGACCCCCAATACTATGCCGCTGGAATACATTCTGCACCTGGAACAAAACACACTGCCAGAGGATGGCTCTCAGCCCAATAGTTAACGAGTTGTACACACAGACCACTCAGCCCAGGAGATGCACCCACATACTCTATGGTAATACATCCCTTAAAGCAATAGACCATGGGACACCAGAAGACCAACATTCAAATTGAGGAAATGAAATTAACTTTGTCATTGGACCTTTATTGCCCAGCATAGGGGTGGGTATACAGTGAACACTCAATAAATGTACACTGAAGAAATGAAGAAAACAACAATAAATGAATATATATTTTAAAGAGTTCTAGTAAAACCATTCAATAGGACAAACAGGAGTGCATAAATATGAGGGGCATAGGGGGAGGGTTACAGGGTAGGGAGGGGAGGAGAATGGGTTAGGGTTGGACATGGTAAATGGGGAATGAAACTAAATGTGCACGTAATGTTGAATGCAAAACAAGCTCTTAAAAAAAACCAAAACGTATTTATGCTGTTCTGTGGAAAGAGATGGTATGCAATATTTTCTTGATTATTTGTTATCTAATTTCTCCAGTTTTGCAAATGGTGTACTGTGTAATTTTGAAAGGTTCTTATTTGTAATGTTCAAAATCTTACTCATTGTTTTCATCTTTATTGTAAGACCACTGATTTTGCACCCCGTTTACCTGTTGGAAATGAGAGGCTACTGTACTACTTAAAACATATCATGTCTTTAATGGATGAAACTTGTCATTTTAAGTAATATTTCAGAACACTACTACTTGGAATAGTTTTGCTTCTAAGGAAAATATATAGAAGGACTGGGCGCGAAAAAAAAGACTGAGGATATGAACCAGTAGAAGCGCTCTCCCTGAGTTTAATAAAATAAAGACATTTCATAAAATCTGCTATACATTATGTAATTTCATTTGAATTTTAGTTTATCTGAATTCTCACTTCAAATTGAAAAGCAATTTCCCTTCATAACCATGAGACCAAATATGGAATATCTAATTCCTTTTGGTTTTAGTTTGCTTTGGGACTAAATCAAGGTGATCACAGTAAAGGTTGGTTATTTATCTTCCTTTCCCAATGTGAGTGTCCTGAGGCATTAACTTTGTCATTGGACCTTTATTGCCCAGCACAGGGGTGGGTATACAGTGAACACTCAATAAATGTACGCTGAAGAAATGAAGGAAACAACAATAAATGGATATATATTTTAAAGGGTTCTAGTGAAACAGTTCAAGGAGGCCAACACTGGCCTGCTATCATGTGTACCCAATTATCTTTAAGTTACCCAGATAACTGAGAAAAGCCAGGATACCTTTGACTGCAATCATCAACCCAAACAGTCAAAATAAAATACTTTTCATTTCAAGCTGTACTGTGGATATCTAGCTTTTGAGAAGCATCACATTGAAAAGGTAGCTGAGACTGAGGGAATATTCATTTAGAATACTTTCAAGGCTCAGTAGGTCTCACTCTGGGAATTGAATCTCAGAAAAATGCAATGTTCTTCTCAAGACTGCCCACCCCATCACCAAACTCAGTGCTGACACGAGAATCCAATTCATGGAAGACCACAATTTTGAAGAATCCTTCCTGAAATACCATTTTGTCAACAATGAGTTAGAAAATAAGTGTAACATTTAACAAGTTATAAACATTTAAAATACCACTAAGTTTTTAAGGCAGCAGAAGACAGCTCTCAATAAAAAGATAGACTAATATTCCAGGAAAGTCTGCAGTGACTCTCTTACTCTGGAATCAGAGCATATGTTCAAATTTGCAAATACATTTGTGGTTAATTCCTACCTTAAATACATTGATAGGGAGATCAATGACCACATAGATAAGGTCTCCAAGGGCAAGGCTGGCGATCAGCGCGTTGGGGCCGTTCCTCATACACTTGTTCTGGTAAATGATCCTGAGCAGAGTTGCATTCCCCACCATTCCCACGATGAAAATAGTACAAGATATCACAGTGTTAATGTATTTGAAAGCTGAAGTAATTTTAGTCTGCTGTGGGCAATAGTTGTGCATTGAGCTATTGCTGGTTAGGGCCAAATTAGTGGGTCGATGGGTGGTGACCAGGAAGCTGAGCTCTGTCCCACGTACAGTAGTGAAATCATCCACATGATCACTTAGATTTGTGCTGTATCTCTCAGGATTATCACTGATCACACAAGCAGTCATTACCAGCCAAAAGGATACCCTGAGGCAAAAAGTTTCCATCTTCATGCAAATTTGAGGAAATGTATCTTATTTCGTTACTTTTACACAGTCTTTTTTTTTTTTTTACAACCTGGAAAAAGAAAAGAAAAAGGATTTTGGTTACAAAATCCAACTGCCAATAAAATCATAATCAAACTAAACTCACTGCCATCAAGTTGATTCAACAAGATCATAGTTAATGATCATTTACTGCCTCAATTAAACAGCAGGACTTATTTTATAATTAGGTAAGATATATCTATGCTACATTACCCTGTGGCAGAACAAAACCAGAAAAGGCCAAAGCTCTATTGTTGTTGTTGTTATGTGCTGTCAAGTTGGACCTGACTCACAGCAACCCCTCCTTGGGTTTCCGAGGCAGTATCACTACAGTAGATTGCCCCATCTTCCTTCCCAGGAGTGGCTATTACAGTAGCTTTTATGTATCTATCTATCTCTATTGCCTCTACTTCTGTCTCATCCATATCCATTTCTATACTTATAGCTAGATCATAACATGGATAAAAATATGTCAGTTTTTCCTTCAAGTAATTGATGAAAAATTATGTTTTTCCTTTCCATTACACCAAGGTTGATAAGAAACTAAGTTACAAAAATCTGCAAGAGATTAGATTCAAAATTTTATTTATTAATGAAGGAGAAAAGGCACTGTATGCCAAGCAAAAGTTACACAGTATTAAAGCATAAAATTACCAAATTTCATAGTGAATCCAATATTCCAAAATATGTGCTATTTTTCATATGGCAAATAGTGAACATAGGAGTAAAATACAGCACAAGTTAGCATCTAATGTAGTGCAAAAGGCTAATTTAAAATTAAAAATTATATAATGGGTAGAAAAAAATATTTAAAGTTATTTTATTGAAAACCTTGAAGATTAATGTGTAAAGTCTACAGCTTTTATCAAGAGTATTTACTTTTGCATTCCTCAGAAATTGTCCTCATTATGTTTGTCAAGGTGTGAAACCAAATGGACTGGGAACAGTGATCTTTCACAGGCTAGTTACACTATCAACTTTCCAAGGTACCCTATGGTACATATTTTAAACATCCTATATCGCTACATTCATTACATTCTAGTCATTGTGCTGAGCACTTCACATGAGTGAAGTACTTGTTACTTCACATCTAAACCCATACAATGACCCTGTGAAGTAGATACATGTCCCATTATAAAGTTTGGGAAACAGAGGCTCAGAAGGGTGAAGTAGCTTGTCAAGGTCACAGGTGTTGGGTGGCAATGCTATGACTCTAAACCAGGCTAGTCTGAGTCTAGAGACTGAGCTCTTCACCACTAAAACATACTGTCCCTCATTCTCATGTCTTATTAGCACCTACAAGGTTTCAAAAGAGTCTCCAGAGTTTAGAGGAAGCAATAGACTCAGGAGGGTGGTTAGGCATTTGGAAAAGATCATCTGTCTTTTCTTTTAAGTCTCTGCAGAGCGCAGGTGCTCCCTTCCCTGAAAAGCCTAGGTTTCCACCTTCATCCTTACAGAAAAGATGTTGGGAAAGAGAAGGAGGCTGGTGGTAACAGAATAACTAAAGGTAAATAAAAATGGCTCTCTCCACTTCAATCAGTGTATTTCAGTTCCCGTGGTTTCATATGAATCTTTAAATGAAGATCAAAGCCTCATTTACTGAGTGTCCTGTGTATATGTGTATGCCATGTATGCCCAGTCCATAATTTATTTAATTTTTCAAAAAATTGTGTCCTTTTTCCGAGCCTAATTATAGTTGGTATTAATCCTCTTAGGACTTTTGACTGTTATTTTGGGAACTCAATAGAGCTCAGGTTCAGTCAATGTTTAGATGAAATAAGATTTATGTACATTGTGTATAAGGTATAAAGTAAATGTAAGGGGCAACTAAGGAGCTCTGGTAGCGTAGTGCCTGAGGCATTTGACTACTAACCAGAAGGCTGGTGGTTCAAACCCACCAGCCACTTCTCGGAAGGAAGACTGGGCAATTTACTTCAGTAGAGATACCTCCTCAGAAACCCAAGGAGGGGTTGCTATGAGTCAGATCCGACTCGATGGCACATAACAACAACAAGGGGCACCTACCACATACTTTTGCTTTACCCAGAGTTTCTTCCCCCCGAAGAAACAGAATAATAATAGCATCTTACATATATAATAAAGTACTGTTATATATTAGATATGTAATAAAGTATAACATATATGGCAATTCTACTTTGTCCCAAAGGGTCACTGTGAGTCATTGCTATGGGTCAGTATGGCAGTGGGTTTGTTTTTGTTTGGTTTATTACATACACATAAAGTACTGCATAGGTATCAGCTATCTGAGCTTTACAACTCTAGGTAGATAGGCAGGGGTGATATCCTCATTTTACTCATGAGAAAACTGAGTCTTGATGAAGTTAAGTGACTTGGTCAAGGTTTCAATAACCAAGAAATGGCCACTAGTTGCTGTTGAGTCGATTCTGACTCATGGTGACCCCATGTGTGCTCCACAGGGTTTTTCAAAGGCTGATTTTTCAGAAATAAATTGCCAGGCACTTCTGGGTGGACTGAAACCTGCAGCCTTTCAATTAGCAGCTGAGTGTGTTAACTGTATGCACCACGCAGAAGTGGCAGGATGGTTAGATGCCTAGTTTAACTTTACTTAAAGGATTTGACTCAATCTGATTAACTGAGAAAAATATAAAATATTCGAAACTAGGGGCATACAATGTACCCAGTGTTAGATTACCTAATAAGCAAATAAGCTTGGGCTTACTTGTGCTTACTTACTAATCTGTAATGATCAATTCCACATTTTTTCATCACATCAAAGATTCTGCCTTTTGGTATGGCTGGCACCTGTATCTCTCTTAACCTCACAGCACCATCCTATAGAATCAAAGCTTCTTTTCAAATGTATAGTCCCTGACAAGGATGGAGTACCCAGTAAGCAAGGTAAACACAAATAATTTTATGAATCTGTAGTGAACACTTTCACGTGGGTTTCACTGGTGAAAAACATGAAACTGTTCACTACAGATTTGTAAGTAAACTCAAGAAGCCCATGCTTACCTCATTTATTGCGTAGTCCACCCCTGCATGTACTTGTCACTTCTGCCTAAATTTCATTTTAACTACTTTGAGGTTTTCTTCTGCTTCTTATAATCTGGGGTATATGACTGAATATTGATAGAGCTACAAAATGCCATCATTTCCATTCCAAAGAGAACAGGACTCTAAGAACAAAGTATATTTTGATCCTTCTCTTCAGATTACAGATATGGGAGAATAGAAATACTTAAATCTCTTGTGTTATTTAATGACTAAGCCTCCCAGTTTCCCAATTGGAATGGAATCTTCTGTAATAGTTTCCCCTCAAAAGAGAGCGAGAAGGCTCTTTCCAGAAAGAGAATGGCTGTTAGGCTATTAGAGTCTGCTAGGAGGATATTTAGTTAATTGCCCTTTCTATCCTGTATATTACTCCACTTATCAAAGGTGCCATTAGTGTTTTGAGCATTAGAAGGATGGTTTGCTTGGTCAGCTGATTATAGCCAGAGCTAAGGGGGTCAAGGCTGTGGTTTCTTATCATGAAGTGAGGCAGGTATCACTTTCTTTCCTCCTCCAACAAGATACCACCATTGCAATAATTTCTGATGACATCTCCATCAGCTGTCTATACATATTAAGCTGCAGAGCTAAGGGATACTTGGCAAAAGCATCTGGACTCATACTATCATTGGATAAAATATACAAAACAAAAACCTTCTCAAATGCATGTTCCACGAGGAATGCTTATCTGAACTGATCTCAGTCAAGGTGGGCTTCAAATCATAACTATAGCTTTTGTAAAGCATCTAAGGTTCAGATCTGAACATTAATGGTCCACAGATTCAGCGATCCTCAAATTTGGGGTACAAGTTTGCTGGATGCCAAAAATTATTATGAAGAAAGAGAATGGATGGAATTCTTATGATTACACTTAACCCATTTAATGTCTTGGACTCTCTGGAACAAAGTTCACCTGTAATTAGTAATTTGGAAATTCCAACTTTACCAAAATGACTGGAGTTTAGAGCAGGTAATTATTTACATGACAGAACTGCCAAAGCGTTTCTAAATTAGCTAACACTTAAAACAGGTGGTGGGAGTAGAAACATAAACAAACAAACCATAAACAACTAATGGAGGGGAAAAAAAAGACAAATCTAGGTACTTTTTACAAGTTTTCTGTGGGTTTTACTCTCTGGAGATGAAATGACCAGTTCTCTTCACTAAGGACTCCTGCCTTTAATTTGTCTCCGGAGCCCCCAACTCTGTCATGGGAGCGCCATTATGATAGTGCAAGGGTTGATAATCTAGAAACTGCCTTAGTTTTCTGCACGTGCAAGTCAACAAGTGCCCTTTAAAGGAAAACACAAAACAAAACACCTAAACCTATACAGGCAAGTTTCCGAGACTCGGCATTGGGGGTTTTCCAGAACACATCAGTCCCTCACACCCAGTGTCCTTGGCTACCCTTGGCATACCCCGGGCGTTTGGGGAGGAGAAACCAAGCGAGTAAGAAAGAGCTGTGGAACCAACTTCACAACTAGGCTTGGTAGTAAGCGACAGAATCGGCGTGATGTTCCACAAAGTTCCTGCATGGCTGGGAAAGAGGGAGACCCAGGAAGAACTGTTGGTCTTCCTTTTCCTAAAACTCAGAATCCCGCTGGCGGAGACTGAGGAGCTTTGGATCAGTTCTCCAATCCCCAAAAGTTCCCGAGGCTCACCCCTCCCAAAGAGAACGCCCTCCCCACCACGCGCCCTTGGGCAGGTGGGTGCCAGTCCCTGCTTCAGCGGGTCGCCCAAGTAGTACAGCTGCCAGGCAAGAACGCTCAGTTTTTCCCTCTCTTGATAAACCAGGAGCCATGAAGACATCACCGCCACCCCCACCAGAGCCCCGAAAGGAAAGAGTTTCACCGACCTTGGAGCTCTGCTGGCGCAGACTGCTGCCCAGTGCGCGCACGGCGCCTGGACAAGAGAAGCCGAGTTGGAGAGGGTGGGTGGTGTGCAGGGTGGCGGGTGTCCCGGGCTCTGGCGCGGCGGCGAATAGCCCGG